TCAGTCTGAGCATAGTACTTAGTATTTGTTTATATATGTCAGTTTTGCAGGCAATCAGCACTTACATTTTCAGATCAGCAGTTCAGGTGGGGACTCAGACTGGGTATTACAATGATTATAATTACGCTACCATGTTTGAGGTATGTATTATAAGTATCCGCTCGGAATGGTCGCCGGTCCATTTTGGGTTCTAGTGGCCTTAGTCTGCCCACTAGAGTGTGCACATGGTGTCCGACATTTTTATGCTGCCAGATGTTCAGTTATCAGTCAGGTGATGATTATCACGATATCAGTATCAGTTCATGATTATCAATACTGGTATTAGTTTCAGTTTCAGTTTCATTTCAGTATCAGTTCAGTTATATATGCCAGGATCATGATATTGTTATTATTTTCACTGTTTACTTCAGTATGAGTTTCTGCGGATCACAGTGGATTAGTGCTCACGCCCATACATTATTCATGTTTTTCAAGTCACAGAGTCGGAGCCGAGGAGTGAGCTGGCGACCGGTTCAGGACTTCTGTATATATGTTAAACATGTTTTGGCTACACTATGTTTTCCGCTGACTACTTTAGTTTGTCAAACCAGCTTTTGATCCAACTCCAGTCGGTTACTATATTTCATTACCATTTTGTTGTTAAACTAAGATAACGGTTTTCAGATAAAGTCAGATTTTACGGTAACACTCCGAATCAGTATTTCGCAAAATAAATGCTTTTAATTAGAAATTTTGCGAAAATCGCGCTCTGATTTTCATGAAATAGCGGGGTGTTACATATCATCTAGTCCCCCCCACTCTGGTCGAGTTTGAATGACTCGATCGAAGAGTGAATTCATGTCCATCGACCTCCTAGGTGGCCTGGTGTCAAATATCGACCCTCTGATGGGTTTCCCGCTTATTTTTATGGTTAAATATTTTATTTTTATGTTTTGATTTTTATTTATATTTATTTCTATAATTCATTTTTTCAACCTATATAATGAGTTATATAGTATCTATTCAAATATTTAGATATATTATATATTTCTATAATTACCAGTGCAATACTTTATATTATTATACATTGTTTTTTTATTAACTTATTTTTTCTTAATAAAACATTATATAAGAATTTTTTTAAAAAAAAAAATAAATAGTTTTTTAATGTACATAGATACTTATAAGGTGAAATTTATGATTATGAATTGCACCCGACCATCAAATTTTATTTTTATTTATATATTATGTAAATTTTCAATAGTATTATATGATATATTCAATGGGATATACCTTTTTATAGTTAAATTGACTACATTTTAGAAACTTTTATTATTTTTTAAATTATTTATTAAGTTATTATGATTTAAATATAGTTATTCTTATTATTTATTAAATGTTTTAAGTACTTATAAATAGTGAATATAATTAATTAGATTAATACCTACAACCATAAATGATAATGTATTTAATCAAATCAATTTCCATAATAATTTTTTTGAATTGTATCAATAAATTACTATTAAATTAATATAAGATCTTATTGAAAATATATCTAATAAATCTACGGTAAAAATTTTAATTTAGGCCAATTTGTAGTTAATGAGTAACAATCATTGAGTGTATAAAAATTAATTATAATTTTTATACATAAGATTTGCTAATAAATAAATATTAATCAAATGCCAAATATAGCCGAAAAAATTTCTCGCCCAAAATCATGTCAATTATGGCAATAAGGATTCGTCCATTATATAGATATAGATAAAAAGACTACGGTTCGAGACTCCAAATTTTACGAGAATGATAAACAGTAGCTAAGAGCTCGATACTTTTGAAAATGAGAGTTCCAACAAATCCACAATAACATATACGAAAACTTAACGAGCAATACAAATTATGCGAACCGATACGAACAAACCGAAAATAATCCGAACGTCAATAAAACTCGATTCCAAGAACATAATAGATCCAACAATATTTTTCGAGCATGAACATATAGAGGAGGTTTGATGATTACCTATCTGCAGGAATTTACGTGCTCGGTTGGCAAACGAACGAGCAGACAAGATGAACGATCGAACAGACGAGATTCAAAACTCGAAACCTTCGAACACGGGGACTGTGGATTGCTGGTTCTCGATGGAACAGCGGCTCTGCTGCGTGGAGGTCGACGACGAACGGAGCGTTGATACGACACGGAGTTGACCGGAGGTGACCACCGGAAACAATGGCGGACTGGGCTGGAACTCTGCTCGGGGAACGAACGACGGTTGTCTGCTGGCCAGTGGTTCGAACGTAAGGGGAGGGTGGTGGTCGCCGAGAACACGGTTTCAGGAGAGCTTACCGGAAAGGAAGCGTGGCAGAGTCGCCGGATATTGGCGATGAGATTTTTTTTATTTTTTTTTAAATTGATTCTGAGCGAAAGAGAGATCAGAGAGTAGCTTGGTACCAATGATAAGAATTTACCTCTTGGCCGAGATATAAGACGTGAGAGAGGGAGGTGGAGAACGTGCGAGATGTTTCTCCCAAAAGAATCGCAATGAAGGTTGGAGATGATGCCTTGGTCGTCGCGTGAGGGAGAAGAAGTTTAAAAAAAAATATGCGGATTCCTCTTCAATTGGGCAAGAAATAAATTAACTCATTTGGGCGAGAGAAAATAATCTTGTTGGGCTGGAATTTAATAAATCACCATGGTCGTAAAAAAAAAATACTTAGGCTGAAGGAAATTACAACGCAATAACAAGAATTTCCGTTCGATTTGATTCACGATGAATAATAAATTAATCCGAATGATATATATCCATATCACACACAATAATTATTTAATCATAATAATCATTTAAACGATTAATGACAATTAGACAAATAATATTCAAGTAAAAAAATAATAACCATAAATAATAATAATCCGAAAAATTCATAAACAAATGGGGCATTACACTAAATATCAGTTTCATTTTGAGTAGAATCAGTATTACTATTTATTTTCTCCAGGTAATCTTTTTTCTTCCGCTTTAAACAGATTACTAAGATCTGGTTAATTTGGTGGTCTATATGTTGGTATAGACTTCTTTTCTTTTATATTTCGTAAAACTCTTTCTATTTCTAATAATTTAGTGTCTGAGTTACTAGAATCAGACTGTTGTATATTTTGCTCTATTCTTAAAACAACTTCTTTTATTTCACTAACTATCGCTAGATATGTTGTACATTTCCTACTTCAGGATTTTTAGCCATTTAATCATAATTGTTTTCCAATTTGATTTACAAGTAAAATTACTTTGCTTAAATTTTTCATTAATGGTTCAAATTGTGAAATTTTCTCGTCTAATTTTATTAAAGTTTTTTCTAACCTATTTACGTTTATTTTGTTAATATTTTCAATAATTTTGTCAGCTTTTGCTGCAATATAAAAAATTTCTAATAGTAGAGTATCATGAAATTCAATATTTCTACTCGTTTTGTCATGTCTTTCAAGAATTAATTATCGATTATTTCAGATTTTTCATTATTTCCCCAAAGATGAGTATTATTTATTCTACTCATTTTCTAAATATTTGGAATTTAAGCATTTTTAGCTTATTTTTTTGATGATTTTGTAGAGTTTTTTCTTTAAAAACTAGTGTTGATACTCGTGCGATGCACGGGGTGCGATATAAAGAAATATTTTTTATTTAGATACTATAACATTATTTAAGACAATATGAAATTCTATTATCCACAATATCCTATTAAGTAATAATATGACATTTATTTATTTACTCTTGTTGATAATTTTTATTTTTATATATATATTTTTTTTTATAGTTTTTGACTATTTAATATATAAATTTTATTATTTATTAGTTTACAAAATATTATAAATGTATAAGATCATATGATATTTACATACAAATTACTTGTATGTACTGATAAAATTACCGTTTATCAAGGTCTTATAGTTTTTTCAATAATTCATAATTTGCGCATTGCTTGACGACTGACTAACGTTTAACCCATAATATTTATCTTCCGGTATAATTATTAAATGCATTAAATGTTCAAAACTTTGATAAATAAAATTTTATTTTTTAGTAACTTTAATCCTTATGCAACACATAAATTTTTATGGTTAAATATTTTATTTTTATGTTTTCATTTTTATTTATATTTATTTCTCTAATTCATTTTTTCAACCTATATAATGAGTTATATAGTATTTATTCAAATATTTAGATATATTATATATTTCTATAATTACCAGTGCAATACTTTATATTATTATACGTTGTTTTTTTATTAACTTATTTTTTCTTAATGAAATAGTATACAAGAAAAAAATATAATTTTTTTTTTAAAAATTGAATAGTTTTTTAATGTACATATATATATATAAAAAGAATTACTATTTTTTAAAATGGCAAGTCAAATATGGTCAAATATTGTTGAGCATTAATTGCATGCTATTAATAGCAAATTTTTATTTTATTTTTTATTTACAAACATGCATCCTTAATTATTGCATTAAAATGTGAAGTTTGTTAAGTGGAGTTTGTTTTTTAGTTTTGCGCAAGATTAGGCTGTTTCTTTTACATTTCCACAAATTAAAAAAAAAAAATAACATATAATCGTGTACAACATTGCAAATTTTATTTTATTAAAAAAATAATAACACCTAATTTAATAATATAAACTTACGTTAGTATTTACAAAAAAATCAAAAACTCTTTTAACATCAACTCGGCTACTACAATTGTTTTAATCAGATGCTTTTATTTAAAAAATAAATAAATTATGGTGGATTTGGTTACAGTTAATTTAAACCCTTAAAAGATAAATTGGTGGATTTGGTTCTATTAAGTTCTAAAAATTTCGATCATTGAATATAATTTGAAATTCAAAATCCTTTCTCATATTTGATATAACAAATTCAATTGTGTTTTTTATTCCAAACAATCAGATTGCCCAAAAAATTACCTTAAAACTTGAATTGAAAATTTGAAATTCAAAATCTTTTCTCATGTTAGTTGTCATAAAATTGGGCTTAATTCAAAATTTCTTCCTAATATAAAAGATTTTGTTCAAATTAAATTAAAAAAAAATCTAATCACATGCTTCTATCCTTGGACGACTAACCTTACATGAAGAATTTTGCGTCACTTTAAAATTAACAAACATCTTGAAAATTACAAATTATAATAAATTTTATTTTTTTAGGTTTCAATTTGCACGAAATTCAAAATAGTTTAAGAATTTCAAATCAACTGAAATTCATCTCTTTAATTTTTTTCCATAAATTTCAAAATTTTACAATAGTTAAGTCAAATTACAAATGTATTGTTTCAAAAATCAAGTGGATAAATTTGAAATAGATAGTTTTTTTTTTTTTT